CCCCCAAAAAAAAAATATTAGAAAAACCCCACTCTTTCCTTCCGCACTTTTCCACCTTGTTCAGGATGTGCCTTGATGCCAACTGACGCTTTCTTCTCCTTCCTTCCCCTTCTTCTTTTCTTCTGTCTTCTCCTATTCTCCCTTCTGTCATTCGTGGCATTTTTCGGCTTTTCCCCAATGGAGGAAGGCAATGCCCCCCCTCTCTTTCCCTATCTCTCTCTCTCTCTCTCTCTCTCTCTCTCTCTCTCTCTCTCTCTCTCTCTCTCTCTCTCTCTCTGATGTGCAGGTGTGGTGGTGGTGATATTTGAAACCTACCTTTTTAATTTTATCTCTGCTATTTGTTGGAAATTTCAGTCTATCACCTCACGAGACAATGGCAGACTGACTGTTAACAACGTGAAATCTTTTACAACAGAACAGATTTAAAACAAGAATGATATTGCAGTGATTTTCATCGAAACTGTTTAATTAGATACATTTATTCTGCGAACTTTGAACACAAATTTTCACCCTGCACGAAATCTTACTTCCCTCTCCTCACTGATGTGACTATAAACAATTAATTGTGTCTGCGCATAGTATATCCATTTTGGAATTGAAGTGGCAACTACAGTAACTTTTAAGTAATAGAATCAATATGGAACGAAAACGGGAGGGACAAAAACGGGTACGGCGAAATTCAAAACTGAAAAATGAGTTTACCATATCAAAATAATGAATCCCTATAGATCTATACATAGGTACGACGAGTAAATTTATACCTTTACGCTTAAATGGTAATGTGAATGTGTTGTTTGCTGATCTCAGGTCTGGTTTGCTTTTTTTTTTCCTTGCAAATATCTATCGCCCTCGTCTCTTCTCTTTCTGTTTTTGTTTTTCTTAGACGTTAACACCTTTTATCTTCAGCATTTATATGATCTAATTGTGTTGCAAATGCCGTGCCGTAAAACGCTTACTAATACTAAATAAAATAAATGGTAATGTTAATAAGCTAATGTCTTTGTTAATGCCCCCTAAATAATTGTCTGTATATGGTATGCTTCTTATATCTGTCCTCCTGTTTGTCTCCCCCTGCCCCCCCCCCTCTCTCTCTCTCTCTTCTTCTTCTTCTTCTTCTTCTTCTTCTTCTTCTTCTTCTCCTCCCCCTCCTCTTCCTTCTTCTCTTTCTCTCCCCCTCCCCCTCTGTATTTGCCACAGATCCTGATACTCCTGCTCCTGATTCAACACTACATGTATTGTGTCGCGACGCGGTGGAATCAGGCGCTCGTCAATGTTTAGGCATACATGTATTACTATTATGGACTTCTTGGTACCGTCTTGCTTTTGGTG